CTTCGTATCATTGGTGATTGCCCAGCTCTCTAGTCTACCCAGATCTCTCTCTAAGGCCTTTCTACCCTTGAGGGAATCCACAGCTCCTCCTAGTTTAGTATCGTCAGCAAATTTACTTAATGTACATTCGATTCCTGCGTCCAGGCCATTTATAAAAACATTAAGAGCGCTGGCCCTAATATTGGACCCTGGGGAACCCCACTGGTGACTGGCCGCCAGCCTGATGTAACCCCATTTACCATAACCCTTTCAGCCTGACCCATCAGCCAATTGTTCACCCATCGTATTATGGACTTGTCTAGCTGTGTGCTGGATATTTTGTCCAGAAGGATACTGTGAGAGACAGTATCAAAAGCTTTGCTAAAATCCAGAAAACCTCACATCTATTGGCTTCTCTTGGTCAACTAGATGGGTGATCTTGTCATAAAAGGAAATTAAGTTCATTAAACAGGATTTTCCCCTCCTGAACCCATGCTAGCTATGACCAATGACTGCATTGTCTCTCAACTGTTTTTCAGTAACTCCCAGAATAATAACTCTCCATAATTTTACCAGGCACTGAAGTGAGACCGACAGGCCTGTAATTACCACGGTCCTCCTTCTTACCCTTCTTGGAAACTAGGACAACATTTGCCAGCTTCCAGTCTACTGGGACCTCTCCAGACTCCCAAGCCCATTGAAAAATAATGGAGAGAGGTCCCATGTTGACATCAGCCAGCTCTTTCAGTTCCCTGGGATGAATCCCATCAGGCCCCATAGACTTTGCACATCCAGCTGGAGCAGCAAGTCTCAAACAAGTTCAGGTTTGGCTGCAAGTTTATCATCCTCCTAGTCATAGTCTTCCAACACAGGGCTCTGGGGGTCCCAAGGCCCATCAGTGGTGTTGAAAACAGAGGCAAAGAAGGCAGTAAACATCTCCGCTTTGTCTATGTCCCTGTTTGCGAGGTGATTGACCTCATCAAGTAACGGACCGATGTTATCTCTGATCCTCCTTTTGATGTTAACATATTTTAAAAAGTCCTTTTTGTTGTCCTTCACAGTACTGGCCAGCTTGAACTCTAACTGAGCTTTGGCCACATGTATTTTCTCCCTACAATGGTGAACAGCATCTCTGTATTCCTCCTGTGTCGCCTGTGCTTGCTTCCAATGTCCATACACTTTCCTTTTCCACCTAAGTTCTAGAAGATCCCTGCTCATCTAAGCCAGCCTTCTGCCCTGCTTGCTTGACTTCAACGCTTTGGAATTGCCTGCTTCTGTGCTCTTAAGAGATGGCTCTTAAACAGTGACCAGCATTCATGGACCCCAATACCTTCACAAGCAGATTCACAAAGGACCTTACTAACTGGTTGGCATATTGAGCCTTCTGTTCCCCTCAGAAGACAGTCTCCTATGACAATAGCCTGTCTTTTTTTCTTTATGGAAGTGGTTTTGATGTGGGGTGCAGGCCGACTTGACCTTGGTGACACCTCCAACCTAGATGGACCATCGTCCTCATCACTGTTTGGTTCCACTTGCAGAGCCTCGTACGTATTATGCAAGGGCACCTGGGAAGGTGGGACAGTCACGGAGGAGATGCGCCTGCTGTGTCGGGCAGGAACTTGGTGCCATTGCCCCCTACCCCTTAAGTCACTGCATTCTGCCAGGTGGAGAGAGGATAGGAAATCCTCCGTATCATGTGTCCTGTCTGCCTGACAGGCCTGTCCCAGGGAAGGCAGGGTGCGGATCTCTCTCAGACTCCCTGGTGCTCCTCAACCTGATCACCTCCTCCCGGAGCTCTGCCACTAAGCTGAGGATTTCTTCTGCCGGGGCACACCTCCCACAGGTGTGCTCACTGCAGCCATCTGGTACTGGCATAAGAGCAGGGCACACCCTGCAGCCTGGCATCTGGGAAGCAGCACATTCCCATCGGAGCTCTGCCTGGGAAGCTGCATCAACTGGGGACACAGCCCTCTGCCCGGTAGAGAGCACTGCTCCCTGATCAAGCCAGCAGAGTTCCAGCGCCCTTCCAGCGCCCTGCTGTGCCATGCCCTGGCTGATGCTCCCCAGGGGTTTCTTTCATAGCTGGGGGGGCTTGGCCGCGGCTACTCCTGGCATCACCCAGGTCTCATCAGCAGCTCTCACACGAGCTGCCAGCTCCTGGCAGGTCTCTCTGCTCCCCTGAGGTTTCCCCAGTTCAGAAAACCCCCTGGTACCCCACGCCAGAGCGCTCCACTGCGGGTCGTGCCAGCACCGGAGCTGCTCACCTCATCTTGCCTTCCAACCAAAAGGGAAGAGCTGAACAGGAGCTTCCTCATTTGCAGCAGTCTTCGAAACACCAACTGCCACAAAGGGTCCCTTGCTGCAGTGTCACAGAGGTGCCTGGAGAACCCATCTTGGGCATCTATGTCCGAAAGACACTTCCCCTGAAAATTCAAAACATCAGAGTCTTTAATATAACCAGTTAACCCAAAAATGGGGAAAGAGGCCATGCAGGACCAGTGCTGCAACCCCAAGAGAAGAAGCATGCAGCTTTCTGCATCCTCTTCTAGCCAGGAGAGGCAGGAAGAAACACAGGAAGATGAGGGTAGGATTGAACGCAGGGACAGGAACTGCCCTGATTCCTGTTACTGTTAAGAGTTTTAAGCACGTCCAAGCTGTATATAAGCAAGAATCAAAGTCTCATTTTATATGATGCTCCAACATCTTCATGCATTGGCATCTCTCTTGGCAGGAGGAAACACAAATAACAGTGAGGCAGGGCTGAGAACCTGCCAAGCCCTGCAGCATCAAGCATCAAGGCTTTCCTTGTGCTGGCTCCTGCAGTCTTCTCCCTCCTGCCTCACTTGCTGTTCCATGCTCTCCCCGAATGATGACGACAGTCTCCTCCTCTCTCCATCCAGCTCCCTAGACCAACAAAAGGGAAGAAAAAGAGCAAGTTTCTCCTTGCTGTCTTACCAAGGGGTAAAACATTCTTTCACCTGGAGAACAATCATTTAACAAGAGAAAAGCAGCAGACATCTCCTGTATGCAGGATGCCCAACACCTCTCTTTCCCCCGTCCTTGCTCCAGGTAGCTGAGCTGCAAACTGGAACTGGATATACTCAGCCCTTCTGGCATTTCTGTCTGTATCTGGGTTTCTTCTCCTCATCACTCTATTCCTACTCCTTGGGCACCAAACAGCTTCTGCAACAAGAGCACCCATGCCTGAGTGTGTGAAAGAACAGTATGACTCCTCTCTCCCACCAAAAATCTCCATGGTTTGGACATCTATGCAATATCTCTAATCCTTTAGGATTTCAGATAAAAGAAGATCAAGAGAACAGCTGAAGAATCAAACACTGTGCTTAAGGGCTAAAAGGAAAAACAGCCACTTGAATCCCAAAATAACATAGATGAAATGAAGTACAGACTATGAGGCAGAGTTCAGCACACCACACATTATGCCAGTCATTTCTGCTTTGAGTTGACAGAGAAATGCATCGTAACCCATGTGAGCAGCACAGACCACTAATACCAGCTGCTTCAAAGGAAAGGAACTGTCAGAGTCATGAGTTACGTGGAAACAGTCTATAGGAAAAGATCCCTCTATTCACCACTATACATTTGCAGTGATATCCTGAAGCACAAGATAAAAATCATACACAGGTTTAAAACAGAAATGCAACTATTACTTTTCTGGCAGCCACAAGTACTGCGCTGGTGTTCTCACTGAACTATCCAACACATTCTTAGGTCTCTGTCCTCAGACAAAACTGCTAACTTAGAAATGATCCGTACACCTAGGCAATCCTAATTAGTCCTTCTGCAGTACCTTGCTTGCTTGCTTTATTCTGCCACCACCTTGCTGATTGCTCAGTGGAACCAGGTCAGTCTGAAGGTACTCACAAATCCCACGGTCTGTTTGCCTGGCTTGACAAAGAACTGTCTCCCATCTGTAATCTGTGCTGCTCCCTCTTCCAGATCACTGACTTTTAATGTATTAAAGAGATTTAAATGGAGGCAGTCCTGTATTAGCTTCCTCCTCTATTGAAAGGTGGTTTTATTATCTAGTTTCTAGGCTATAAAAACTTACTCCTCGGCCCCCAGAGCCAACTGATTTCCTTAATAATTTATCATGAATTTATTGAACTTCAACAGATAATGTCAATTCAGCCGTACAAACTGGTTGCACCCTGGAATTTGCTGATCAGAGAAAAGGATCTTCCTTCAGTAACACCCAGACAGCTGGTCCAGTCCCAACTCTACCAGTTCTTTCTGCTTAGCATTTGGTAAGGAAGTAAAGCTTTTTTATTCTCCAACAGGTCAGGAGATCTCAACAAGAAATTGTATTTTGTTATTAGCAGTTTTGCCATTTGACTGTAATTCAATCAGCACATTTAACTAAAACTCATCCAATTCTTCAGAAGCACTATCATTTAAATGGCCAGATTCCTCTAGATCAAAGGCTGTTATTTTAAAGGCATCAGCAAAAAAGGGGTCAGGCAGTGACCAAAGCAAGCACGTACTGAAACATGTTCCTATTTTAACATTGCCTATTTTAGTGAAGATCTGTATTCGCAGGTATGTGGAAGGAAAGCAGAAAGTCAAGCATTTGACAGAAACCATTTGTATTTCAAGGATGTTAGATGGCATGGAAAAAAGTCATCCAGGACTCGATTCACAAGTCTCCTACCTATACTTGGGGAGGGGATGGAGATGACAAAACCAGATTTCTGATAACAATGTAGGGTCAACCTGGTCAGGGAGCTTCCTCCACTTCAGACACTCTTTACATTGTACCCATGTCTGGTCTGGTCTCTCTCTGTAAAAACCAATGCTCAGTCTGAGTATTTCAAGTGTGGAGTAAACACCAGGAAAGGCTGTTCAGAACGAGCACTGACACCTGACCCCAGAGCAATCCCAGCCCATTTGGACAGGACATGGGATGGTCCGGGGCAGCCAACATGTCTCTGCTCCCCTGAGGACACCCTGCCCATGGTGTGGCATCCCTCCCAGTAACCACCGGGCCAAACTCCACAAGTTCAAATCTCAATTCCCTATAGGAAGGAGGAGTTCAGTCACCCCTCGGCAGCCTTTGCTCCTCCTGGTGGCACATTCCCACCCCACCTTGGCCAAGGGAAAGCCCTAGGCCTTTAACGCTGGCAAAGATCAGAGCAGTGGCAAACTGGTTCCCACGCTATCATGCAAGCTGCATCCACAGCTAACAGAGTCCTGGCTATCCTGCCAGAGCAGATCCCCTTCTGGAAATCACCCTGGAGGAGAGGCAGGCTGCCCGTCCTCTGGCAGCACCTCCAGCCACAGCAGTATTAAACAGCGGCTGGACATCTTTAGTTACCTAAAACCCGGACAGGCACCCATTGTGCTGCTGCACACACTGATCTCATCCTAGCGACACACCAGGTCTCCTTGTTTAACTCTGGACACTGTGCCATGTAGAAGTAAGGATCTAAGATGAGGCTGCTTTTGCAAAGTCCCACTCTCCCCTCTCCGAGATAAAGAGGGGTAAAAGACAAATCCAACTACTCACCTTCCTTTGACAGCCCACCTTCTCATAGATCTGATGAGACAGTTGTTGCAGTACATCATGATCCTGTAGTGGCTTTTATTCTTGCAGGTGAACCCAAAGGTGATCTTCACCCTTTTGCTCTGAGGGAAAATGTGTCAAGGAAGAAATAAACAACAAGCTCCAGAGGAGGAGTGGGGGAGATGCCCAAGTTCCACAGGAAGGAGTGAAACGCTCCAGAGAGGCCGCAGCATCAAGCAGCCGGCACTGCGTTCCTCAGCACAACACCTTCCCTCTTCAGCAGGGAAAACGCGCTCAGCCTTGGCCTAGTAACAACCACCCTGTGCACGCAGCCAACAATAACAGATAAGAACACACATAGCTGACTGGAGGGGAGCTGGATACAGCTGTACTGAGCAGAGCCAGTCTGTCACTGCCAAGTCAAAATGTGCCTTGGTTATAGCTTTAATAAAAACTCTGATATGCATTTATATTACCCTGATAATAGAACAGGCAAGATCTGGCCAAAGAAAACTGCCTTGGAGTGTATCACAAATGAGACAACTAATGAGTAACAATTTTACTTGTGATTAAAAGATAAATGACCATCGTTTACAAAACCAAATCAAACACATCCAGTCAGGGCTGAAGAAATCTTAATGACTAACAATGACACCAAGGTCCATCAAAGAAGAGCGAGCTCTCCTTCAGCAGACTCCAGTTTCACAAATTCAGTTCTAGACAGACCACTATTAGATGGGGAACTGTGGGTTTAGGATTAAAATTAACCACTTTTTGTCTAAATATATTTTAATTTGCTTACTTCTTAGAGCTCATGTGTTTGCAATGTACATAGTCATCACGTGCTTTCCAATGCAATGCTACTTTATTTGTACACAACAGGTGCTAAACTCCAAATCTCGACGATCTGTTATTTTATGCACACCACCTATGCAAGGCCAAAGCACCTTTGAAAGCAAGTGGAAAACCACTACTGCTTGGGCACTACCACTACAGGTTTCTAACCTGCTGCATTTCTGCAAATCATCTCAAAACACAGTGGCTGTGCAATCCCTGGAGAAAGCATTAGCACACAGATGTGTTCTACTGTGATGCTACAAAAGCAGGAGAGCAGCTTTGTTGGTTCTCCTACTCCTGACTAAGTACATAGGTACAGAATTTAAATAACGCCTTTTCATCTTGGGTCAATCTTTTCATATATACATAAGCACAGAAATTCATGACACAAAATGACCTTTAAAGCATGTAGGAGGAGGGGGGACAAAAGATACTCAGGTGTAGTTCAGAACAGCTTAAGCAAAGTTCTTTCTGGAAAAAAAAAAAAGAAAAGGGATTTGAAGGGTAGATTGTTCTTTGCACTTGGCTTTACTTGGGGATACTGGTTTCTGTTCGGGGGACACTGCTCTCCAAAAGCATATGGCAGCAGGTAAGCCAAAAAAGTCATCTTATTCCCAAAGAACTGGGGTGGCCTAGGAGCGGGTGCTGGGAATGAGAATCAACACACTCCAAGAACTCAAATGACCAACTTCTAGTCAGCCGGGAAAAGTCAGCAACCAGCTGCTGACGAACAGGACAGAGGGGAAGAAAGGCTTTTCTGGTCTCGTTATATATTTCGATAAAGTGGTTTTTCCACTGAATTGAATAATGCTGTCATTTAAAATATATTTCAGTGGATATTTTCTCAAGCAAAACTGAGCAGTTAGCAAAAGCCTCAAGCCTTTCTCCACCTCATTCTCCCCTGACACAGCACATCGGCCTTGGGGTATGGCAGGAACCGGCTCATGTACAGGGTGAGCCATGAGCCCTATCACCCACTGCTCCAGCAGAAGCAGCTTTGAGGGCTCCCTTCTAAGCTTCACATCAGGATATGGCCTCTCAAAGGTGACCAGAAGATAGGAAGGAGAAGATAATTCAGCCTCTCTATTCATTTAAATCCTGCGTTTCTCTATGCATCAGACCAGGCAGGCCTGAGCCCAGCTGTGAGGTTGGTCTGGAACCCCGCAGTGTGCTGAGGCTGCTGTGGGAGCAGAGTGCCAAGAGGTGGCAGGGAGGATACGATGAATCTTGGCTTATAAAAATCATATTCAGTGTTGGCCAGGCTCTTGGCAATCAGCTGAGTGTTCACCTTCTGTCGCAGGACGACCCACATGCGAGGCTTCAGGTACAAGATACTGCAGTATGCCTGGGAGAGGGGACAGCACAACAGAACAGGCAGGTGAATTCTAGTCGCGTGTAGTCTTTTCCAGGTGAACCCAAAATCTAATTTGGATTTAATATCTTTCATCCCCTGTGAGTCATGCACAGAACAAAGCTGGGGAAGGGCCATCCTGCTCCTTTTCAGCTCTCGTCAACTTAGCCAGTTCTGGGCCAGGAAACTCTGGAACCATCTTCTGAGAGTGCAGAACTTTTCTGCTGGGAGTCTCGCTGTTGTCTGCAAGGAAGTCTGCTATCTCAATATCATGCTCATCCATATCAAAATCCAGTTCCAGCTTCCCATCTTTATTTCTGAAAAACACCAAACACAAAAATAAAGACAGTCTCCTCCAGTCATCAGCACCTCGGTCTGCTCTTCTGTATCAGGATCCCAAGGGAACATCCTGAGGAGCACATAAAACAGCTTATTTCACACACTCCATGGATGTCATTAGTCAGTCATTTAATTACAGGCATTTCTGTGCAGAACACCAAAGTAGCAGAACACTTCAGAACAGTCTTGATAACACAGAAATAGGGAAGTTCCATTGCACAGATGGGAAAAGGAAGTAAATGTATTAATTGGTTTCCTCTGAAAAAAAGAGCACACCTGTGACAGACAGGACTAGACCCATCTCTCCTAACTCCCAGCACGGCATCCCAAGCAGTCAGTCATACAGAAGGAGAAGGGAGAAATCCCGGCATTTTTTCCTCCAGTAGCCAGGCTGGATGACAGCAGGCTTAGACCACCCAGGCCAGGCATTGTCCTGAAGCTGTCTCTGCTTTAGCTCTTCCCCATCCTCGGGGCACCGCTGCCTTGCCGCATGCCCCAGCCCCCTACCTGCGAATGCTCCAGATGAGGATGCACGTGCCCTTTTTGCCTGGAATGGCATCGAACTGTGCCAGCAGCTCCTCCCTAGTGTTGGAAGAGGGTATGCTCCAGGATGGCCTCCAGGCTAGACACAGAGTCTTCAGTAACAATCGTTTCCTCTAGAAGCCACAGAGTCAAGGAGAACAGAGTTGCCCAGTCCACCTACCTCCCTTTTGCCACCAGGGCACAAAAAAATCCAGCTGCAAAGACCTGGCCACAGGCCTGACACTCCAGAGAAGTGTGACACAGGAGAGACTACAGGAGGATGATCTCAGAGAAAGACTGAACCAGGACAGACATGACAGTAGGACGCTTTGAAGAAAAACACTTAAAAGTGTCAAGCTGAGTGGGGGGCAGCAATGTCATGCCAGCTGATAATATACAAGCGGTGCCAGGGAGTTGTACATTCTCAACTCCCTTTGGTGTGAAGGAAACACAGCCTGGAAGTATGCCAGCATGCCCAGATGGCACCAAAAGCCATTACAGGTGCAGAAAAGCAGCAGAGAGCATAGCTCCTGGGCCAGGGATGTGTACATGGGTCGGCATGGTGGAGGGGAAAGGGACAGAAACAGGTAGCCCATAGGTTGGTGGCATGACTACAAAGGCTTTCCAGGAGCCAGGTCAGCAGCACATGCCCCCAAGCAGATGCACAATAAGTTCTAGCCCAAGGAAAAGGGAATAATGCTGCATGGCAGTGTGTTAACAGCAAGGCCTGCCGCAGGGATTCTCCAAGTGCAGCACTGATTACAGTTACTCTCACCCTCTCCAAACATTGTGCTGTTTGCACGTGGCCAAGGGACAGCCACAGGCAGCCTGTGCCCTCAGCATCGTGGCAGCGCCACTGGACCCCACGTCCCTTTGGAGGTGGGCAGTGGCTTGGCCAGTCGGCCAAGGGAGGATACCGTTTTGCTGGTTGAATGACACCAGTGGGATAATCACTGTCTCAGCATGGACACAGTCCATGTAGGTTTGGGAAAGCAGCCCCACACTGAGAACCCCTCCAGCCTTGGTGAAGATGATGGCACCCTTCCCCAGCCGCATGGAGCCAGACTTGAAGCCATACAATCCAATGGACAGGTCATCTCTCTTCAGTCTTCTCCATGAAACCGAAGCTGAAAGCAAGCAAAGCAGACAGGGGCTGGAAATGGGGAGCGCCTGCCTCACTCCAGGCACAGTTCCACATTACCGCTCTTAACTTTTGCAAAGGGAGCTTAGATTCTGTTCAACAGGGAAGGCTCAAGATGGTTGCAATGCCAGTAAAGAAGCCAAATCCTGCCAGTCCTATACTGCCTTCACCACTGAAGACCCACACAAATGGTCAGGAAGATCCTCATAAGGAGGATTTCTTTAGCACCTAGGGAAGGACTCCAAACCCTAATTTACCCATAGCACCTCCACAACACTTTTTACATTACAGGCAGGGAAATCAAGAAGCAGAGGAGCAAGGCAATCTGTTTCCAGCACTGCACACCTAGGCCAACAGCCAGCCAGGGAAACCCCGTGTGCCTGTTCTTGATAATTCTGCACCAAGCCCCACCTCTCACTGTCCCCTCTGGGATGGTTTGTACCAGCAAGGGGATGGCCCTTCTCCACTGCTCACAATGACAGGGCAGGAAGGGGAGAGGGACTCCGGTTTTCATTTCCTGAACCCCAATCACTTTTCTGAAGTGCTGTGGTTATGTCTCCTGCATTTAAAGAAACAACCTTCTCTGCTTTATTCCCCCGTAGTTTGCTTGTGTCAAACAGAATGGTCAGATAGAAACAAAACCAAGCCCCAGCCCCTTCACCCCTGTGGATAAGCTATACCAAAAGAGAAAGGGCAGCAGTTTCGCATTGAAAGACTCCTTCCTCCAGCCTTAAAAACCTCGAGTCCAAGAGGCAACCAAAGGAGCATCAAGAAGGCAGAGCTGCTTTGGCAAAAAAACCCTCATCCTGGGAAAGGCCTTTCTGTGTTTGGGCTCAAAACGCTTTGGTAAAGTTATACCCTCTCTGTAAGGCTCGCATCACTGTTCAAGTAAAAGCTTAAAACCTATTTTCATTGAAGTTAGTTATGTAATTAAAAGACAAGCCCTACTGAACTGAAATTCCTTATCACATGCTTTAAATCTCATCACTAGCCTGCCTCATTCTCTCTCATCGCTATAAAAAATACTTCACATAGAAAGATTAACATGATATAAACACATCCTCTGAAGCCATGACTCATTTCAGCATCCACAGGGTGAGACAGACAAGAGGGGAAACTCCTCCATAACACAAGTCTACAGAAAAGGACTCTTGGTTTGACTTCAGGCACATATGTTCAGTTTTATGTGGACCTTCTCTATGTCCCAGCACAAAAGCACCTCCTCTGCTTCTTACATAGTTCACACACCAAGTGCCGAATGGCTTATGTTAGGGTGGTTCATGACAAGCAAAAAGTTTGCTGAGTCCCTAGACCCCCCATTACACCTTGAGGCAGACTGTGTACAAGAGCAGTTATTTTGCACTTCTGCACACTGGGAAGGTGAGGAAGAAGCAGGGAGAGGTGTGTGCATTAATGCTGGGTGCTCACGATAGGAAGCCAAAGGCCAGTGGCAACGCTGGCAGGCGAGAGGAGAAGCCAGCCCAGGAGCTGGATGTGGGAAGGCTCGTAGCTCACTACCTGAGCACGCGGTGGTTTGCGAGGAGTCGTTTCTACCGTTATCTGTAAAAATTAGGCAAAGGTGACCCTTGAGCTCCACAACAGCAATGTGGAAAACCTTAGCTGTCATGCTGCGATGCGAAGCATTGTCTATGGAAGAAGAACTCTGGGCAGCAAGAAATAACGGTATTTCACCCGCGCTCCCTCCCAAACCCCCTCTGCCCTCAGGCCAGCTCCGAGGAGCAAAAGCCGTTTCCCAGACCTCCTCCCTTCCCAGCGGGCGGTTGTCTCCGGGCAGGGAGGCAGCCGGCTACACCTCGGGCGGCGGGGAACGCCCTTCCCAGCCCGAGGCGGGGAGGCTGCTCAGTAAACGTGCGGGTTTTCTCTCAAA